TGTGTGACGCTGTTTGGAGGAAGCCGTTTGCAAAATGATACGGCCCTTAATTTCAATGGCACGGGTTCCTGCTACTGCCTTGCAAAAGAGTGTTCAGTTCATGGTCCAATGATTTGGGCCAGGACTCATGATTTGGGCCCAACGGGTGTTCGAGCTTACTTTTCCCCGTTCCCAGTTTCAGGCAGCACTTTTTTTCAGGCTTGGAAAAAAGGACTTTGTTGCGGTTCCAGTTAGGGACCGCCCGCATCTTTTGTGGTCCCAGTCCTTTTTGATGTCCGTAAACTCAAAACTGCACTTCCTTGGCAAAAGAAACACCCCACTGCAGTTGACGGAAAAGAGGAAAAGGAGCAAACAAAGGGGGGAAAGGGACGCTGGACCCGTTTTCCAGCAGGTGACGCTCCCCACCAATAGATGGACCCCCCCCGGGTGCTAGCGGTGTCTGCTCTTACCAGCACCACTAGCATTGCAGGGGGTGTGTTGTTTAAAAAAAAAAAAAAAAAAAAAAAAAGAAGGGGCGGGGATTGTAGCAGCCCATTGTGATTTACAAGAGAGATATAACAACACAAGGACTCTATCTGCGTCTATCTATCACAAGCAAAAATTGGACCATTTCTCTATTTATTATTTATGCATGTCATCGTCGTGCATGGGCCATGCTAATCTTCTCTTTCTCTGTATCCTTCCAATTTTAAGGGATGTCCCGAAGGACAGTGACTCTATCACCACTGGTACAGGTAGCACACCTTGGCGATGCTAAAAAACAAAAAAAAAAACTTGTTACTGAGCTGCAACGCTGGTTTTGAAAAAAAGAAAAAAAAAGAAAAAAAAAAAGAGGACTTGTTATTACGGACCTGCAACGCTGTTGGAGTGCGCTGTTAACTCCTTCTAGTCTCCTGACCTGCCGCTGGAAATCCTTGCAGCCGTCCTCTGCCGAGGACTGCAACCCCACAGCTTTGCATCTCCAGTTTTCCACCTCTTTCTGCAGCTGCTCTTTCTCCGCCTGCAGCTGACGTATTGTCCCGTCATGCCGCGCTTCAACCTGCTTCGAAGACTCTGCACCTGACAGTAATTCCTGCACAAATGAAGAAATGCAGCAGCAGCCAGCTCAGATATCAGTAGGTCAAAGATGGCGAGCCAAGGACAGTGACTTAGTATACCCGTGGAGGTGGTGGACAGATCAGCACCTGAGAGAAAAAAATCCATTTTTTGCGTTTTTTTTTGGGGGGGGAGAGGGGGAAAAGCAATTTTTTTTTCGGCAGGAAGGCACCAGCAGTGTCGCGCCTTTTATTTATTTATTTTTATTTTTATTTTTTTGAAGAAATTGCCCGAGCAGTGTCGCATGCCTAAAGGCAAGGATCAGAACCAAGAACCAACCCAAAGAGATAAAGCACAAATAGGCTGAAATGGCGCAGTGGAAGACTGATATACCATATGATCCGACTGAAAAGTCACGGACTGACTGCATCACACTCATCATCATCAGGTAGGGTGAGGGGGTCCTTGCGTCCAATGCACAGACGAGGGCGCCAGACCAGCGATCATCGAAAGATGAAGAGGAGGGGGAAGAGACGAAGGAGGAGGAAGAGACGAAGGAGGAGGGAGAATGGAGATGATGGCAACTCAAATATCACTCGTGGAAGTCTCCACGAAGTCTCCCCAATATCTCTGCCCAGTGTTGGTCTGTGGTCCAATGTCACCCAACCTCAACTCTCTCTCTCTCTCTCTCTCTCTCTCTCTCTCTCTCTCTCTCTCTCTCTCTCTCTCTCTCTCTCTCTCTCTCTCTCTCTCTCTCTC